CTTTCTTCGGACGTACTAACATATAGATAAATGAAATTCCAGGACATTCTCGGAGGAGTTTTTCTATCAGAATTTTGCCCATAAATCCGGTGCCACCAGTAACGAAAATGCTTTGTCCATTATAGAAGTTTTGAATAGGACTGAGTGAAGATTTTTCCAAAATCAAATCACAACGATCACTTTCAGTCAAACGTTCCATTGGACTATCGTTTATTTTGCAACTCTTATCTGATACTATTGCTTCTTGACCACACGGTTCTACCAAAACTTCCACCATCGCGTTCGTCGCGTGACGTTTCGAAATAAATGATCAAATAACTAAAGAAAACAAATCAGAAAAGAGAAAAAAATTAATACGCGTGATATTACACGTCGACTGTAAGATGCTAATCTGAAATCTACTATTCGTTCCACACCGCAGTTCGAACTCTCGCGGTTGCTAGTGCGAGAGAAACCGCACATATCGTCATGGAGTGAAAGTTGATCATGAACTTGGTCGCAGCGTCTTTTACTATGTTCCAAATCCAAATCGAAAGTCATACTGCCAATCGGCAGTTTGTCCTTATCATTTCATTATAAAAGACCGTTCCAATTCGATTCTACTTATAATTCTAATGTAATATAATATATTATATATATTTCATTATATATATTTCATTATTTTATAATATAAATGTTTAAGATAATCTTTAAAAATGTTATTATGCAAAATTAGTTACATTAGAAATATTTTCTTTGTCTATTTAGATCATTAATATATTTCTTTTTATTTTCTTGATAAATGTTAAAATAATTAATTTCAAAAATATTAAAAAAACTGTATAAAATTTTATTGAATTATTATCTATTGAAATACACAATAGATCACAAAATTCATTCATTTTCTAGAAACTCCGTTTTCAGCATTTAGAAATTTTTGGCATATATTTTCATATTTGTTGACCAATTTTTGACATTTGATTATGGTAATCTCTTTTTTAAAGATGGAAATCAAATAATATAAAAATAAAAATGTTATTTGAAAGAAGATACTATTATACTTGATTCTAAATTTCCTCATAAAATTAGAATTTTAAATTTTGATTATAATTAACTAATAATTTATGAAATAATATGTATTTTTTGTCTATCATTCTTGGAGTCAATGGAGATGTTTCGCTATTATGGAAAAGATTATATTTAAAGAAATATTACTAAGTAATGATATTCATAATATATATATAAATTATATTAATACGTATATATTATATAATGTTCTAATGAATTTTGTGTAAGTAAACTTTAGAAGATTATTAAATATTCTGTTTGATATAAAGAATTTCAAAGCTCAAAATTTTATTGCTATATGAAAAGTTAAATTAATCTGCGTCATAGTTTTATTGAATTCCTATATAATTATCTCATAATCAACCGTTATGTCGAATCGTCACAATAAATATCCTACTTATCAAACTTGTTCGTAAGTTTTCGATGAATATATCTATATATATTTCAATAAATAATATACAAATACATTTAAACGATTCCTTCCTGCTCGGCACGAATTTTAACTGGTAGTAAATTCATGGTGAATGTCTGACGAAGAAAGTCATGATTGAAATACAACTCTGACATAAATTAAAGTTGATATCGATTCAGGAAAATAACTTTTTATATTGATATACCATATACATCTTACATAGAGTTTCACCCTTCTGCTTCATGATATGTTTTTCTATTCCTTTTTCTTTAATATTATGTTAATCTTTAATATTTTTACGATATATGATTATACAAAATGAAAACCATATTACTTGTATTGTATTTTAGAATCATTAAAAAAAAAAAAGAACTGAACTAAATACTGAATTGTTTTAATTTTATTCTTCATTCAATATTTTGTTTTATATATATATTTTATATGAAACATTTCTATCATTAAACATCGGTTTGTATCGATTATAGATTATTAATTAAATGTTGTATAAATAAAATGAATTTTATAATTACTGATTTGAATATAATATTCAATTCTATATAGTTTATATTATAATAAAGTCAGGAATTAGTAAATTTATAATACTTCATAATGATAAATTATCGCACAATTTCACTGACCTTATCCGTGATATTTCACGAAACCAATGTCCACACTTTCAAAATATTAAAAAGACAGCACCAAAAAATTAAAAAAATAAAAAAGCATAAAAACGGATAAAAAACGAACAATCAAACGATCGAATGAAGAGAAGAACAAACAAACACTAGATATACCTTAAAAACTTTCTCTTCACGTGAACCTACCGATTTTTCTCTTATGCCACCTCGAGTATTTTGCAAGCGATATACCTCAGAATTGTCACTCTTGGCATCGTCAGTCTTGCTTTTCTTTTCTTCTCCTTCTACTCTGTTTCATCAATTGCCCCTTCTCTTTACCCTTTAACTCTCCTTCCCCTTCCTTAATCGTTCAATCACACCCGGTCCCAGTCAACTACCTCTTTTCTCTTATGTTATTTTACCTTTCATTTCTCTTTGATATTTTTTGTTCTTTTCATTTTATTTTTGCATTTCAATTCAGATTTTTTTAATCCCTTAATGTCATATATGTATAAGCGAAATTTCATTTTTGATCATTTTTTTATAAAAAAAATATTTTGAAAATAAAAAAAATTTCTCCTAAAAAATCTTATTAAAAAAAGAAAAGAAGAAAAGCTTATATATACCTAAATTAAATGATTTCCAAATTATTATATAATATATTAGTGTTTCATAAATCATAATCAATCATTAAATCGTAAGTCAATATTTTTTTCACTTATCATAAAAATTAAAATAAAAATTAATTTTTTTTATTTGTTTAAATTATTTATTTTAATTTTTACATTTTTATATGTAATTTTTTATATAATTTTCATTTTACATAAAAATGTACATTTTTTTCATACAAAAATTAATTACTCTTATTTTATATAAAAATATCAAATTTCGAGCTTTTAAAAATAAGATTATATATATATATATATA